ATATCCCCCCTTATGTATTATACATGGTGATCATATCCCCCCTTATGTATTATACATGGAGATCATATCCCCCCTTATGTATTATACATGGAGATCATATCCCCCTTATGTATTATACATGGTGATCATATCCCCCCTTATGTATTATACATGGAGATTATATCCCCCCCTTATGTATTATACATGGAGATCATATCCCCCCTTATGTATTATACATGGAGATCATATCCCCCTTATGTATTATACATGGAGATCATATCCCCCTTATGTATTATACATGGAGATCATATCCCCCCTTATGTATTATAAGTGGAGATCATATCCCCCTTATGTATTATACATGGAGATCATATCCCCCCTTATGTATTGTACATGGAGATAATATCCCCCTTATGTATTATACATGGAGATTATATCCCCCCTTATGTATTATACATGGAGATAATATCCCCCTTATGTATTATACATGGAGATTATATCCCCCTTATGTATTATACATGGAGATCATATCCCCCCTTATGTATTATACATGGCGATCATATCCCCCCTTATGTATTATACATGGAGATCATATCCCCCCTTATGTATTATACATGGAGATCATATCCCCCTTATGTATTATACATGGAGATCATATCCCCCTTATGTATTATACATGGAGATCATATCCCCCTTATGTATTATACATGGAGACCATATCCCCCCTTATGTATTATACATGGAGATCATATCCCCCCTTATGTATTATACATGGAGATCATATCCCCCTTATGTATTATACATGGAGATCATATCCCCCCCTTATGTATTATACATGGAGATCATATCCCCCCTTATGTATTATACATGGAGATCATATCCCCCCTTATGTATTATACATGGAGATCATATCCCCCCTTATGTATTATACATGGAGATCATATCCCCCCTTATGTATTATACATGGAGATCATATCCCCCCTTATGTATTATACATGGAGATCATATCCCCCCTTATGTATTATACATGGAGATCATATCCCCCTTATGTATTATACATGGAGATCATATCCCCCTTATGTATTATACATGGTGATCATAACCCCCCCTTATGTATTGTACATGGAGATAATATCCCCCTTATGTATTATACATGGAGATCATATCCCCCCTTATGTATTATACATGGCGATCATATCCCCTTTATGTATTATACATGGTGATCACACCCCCCCCCCCTTATGTATTATACGTGGTGATCACATCCCCCTTATGTATTATACATGGTGATCATATCCCCCCTTATGTATTATACATGGTGATCGTATCCCCCCTTATGTATTATACATGGAGATCATATCCCCCTTATGTATTATACGTGGTGATCATACCCCCCCCCCCCTTATGTATTATACATGGTGATCATATCCCCCCTTATGTATTATACATGGAGATCATATCCCCCCTTATGTATTATACATGGAGATCATATCCCCCCTTATGTATTATACATGGAGATCATATCCCCCTTTATGTATTATACATGGTGATCATATCCCCCCCTTATGTATTATACATGGAGATCATATCCCCCCCTTATGTATTATACATGGAGATCATACCCCCCCTTATGTATTATACATGGAGATCATATCCCCCCTTATGTATTATACATGGTGATCATATCCCCCCTTATGTATTATACATGGTGATTATATCCCCCTCTTATGTATTATACATGAAGATCATATCCCCCCTTATGTATTATACATGGAGATCATATCCCCCTTATGTATTATACATGGAGATCATATCCCCCCTTATGTATTATACATGGAGATCATATCCCCCTTATGTATTATACATGGAGATCATATCCCCCTTTATGTATTATACATGGTGATCATATCCCCCCCTTATGTATTATACATGGAGATCATATCCCCCCCTTATGTATTATACATGGAGATCATACCCCCCCTTATGTATTATACATGGAGATCATATCCCCCCTTATGTATTATACATGGTGATCATATCCCCCCTTATGTATTATACATGGTGATTATATCCCCCTCTTATGTATTATACATGAAGATCATATCCCCCCTTATGTATTATACATGGAGATCATATCCCCCTTATGTATTATACATGGAGATCATATCCCCCCTTATGTATTATACATGGAGATCATATCCCCCTTATGTATTATACATGGAGATCATATCCCCCCTTATGTATTATACATGGAGATCATATATCCCCCCTTATGTATTATACATGGAGATCATATCCCCCCCTTATGTATTATACATGGAGATCATACCCCCTCTTAATCTCCTCAAGAGAGAATATATTCAGTTCCTCTAATCTTTCCTCATAGCTGATCTCCTCCATGCCTCTTATCAGTTTGGTTGCCCTTCTCTGTACTTTCTCCAGTTCCCCAGTGTTCTGTTTGTGAATTGGTGCCCAAAATTGAACTGCATATTCCAGATGAGGTCTTACTAATGATTTGTACCGGGGGAAATGATATCTCTCTCTGGAGTCTATACCTCTCCTAATACAAGAGAGGATTTTGCTCGCTTTAGAACCCGCAGCTTGGCATTGCATGCCATTATTAAGCTTGTGATCTCCCAGAACTCCCAGATCCATCTCCACCATTGACCCTCCCCAATTGTAGCCCCCCCAGTATGTATGATACATGCATATTCTTAGCCCCCAAGTGCAGAACCTTACATTTATCAACATTAAACCTCATTTGCCACTTAGTTGCCCAATTACACAGAGCATTGAGGTCGGCTCATTGCTTCCACACAAAGAGCAGGGGTCCCACTCTGCAGCATGCTCCAAAAGGATGGAATCCCTGATTGTCACCAGAACTAGTGTTCCCATTGCAAGATTTCCCTACTAGACAACAGAAAAAAGCCGACAGGTGTACTAATCCCTCTCCACTCTATTCACAACTGAAAAACAAAATGGCTTAGTTATACTCTAACATTTTAACTACTTTAAGTCTGGACACTTTCACCCCTTACCAGACCAATTTTCAGCTTTCAGCGCTGTCACACTTTGAGTGACAATTGCTCGGTCATGGAACACTGTACCCATATGAAATGTTTTGTATTTGTTTTTTTTTAGACAGATAGCGCTTTCTTTTGGTGGTATTTGATCACCACACTTGTTTTTTTTTTTTTTGCTATGTAAATGAAAAATTACAGAACATTTTTTTTTTTGCTTAGTTTTTGTTATAAAATTTTGCAAATAAATAATCTTTCTTCTTAATATTAGGCCAAAATGTACTCTGCTGTATTTTTTTTTGAGTAAAAATAACCCAAAACAGTGCATGTTATTTAGTCTGTGTGAAAGTTATGGAGTCTACAAACTATGGGATATATATTTGAAAATCGATCAGTTGAGACCCTAAGATCCAAGACGCTGGTATGAGGTATGGCGGTGATCAGGACACTGATATGAGGTATGGCAGAGATTAGGATGTTGGTATGAGGTATGGCGATCATCAGGATCTTGGTATTAGGCATGGTGGTCATCAAGATGTTGGTATGGCGATGAACAAGACATTGGTATGAGGTATGGTGGTGATCAGGGCGCTGGTATGAGGTAAGGTGATGATCGGGACACTGGTATGAGGTATGGAGGTGATCAGGACGCTAGTATGAGGTATGGCGGTGATCAGATGTTGGTATGAGGTATAGCGGTGATCAGGACGCTGGTATGAGGTATGGCGGTCATCAGGATGTTGGTATGAGGCATGGCGGTCATCAGGATGTTGGTATGGCGATGATCAAGACATTGGTATGAGGTATGGTGGCGATCAGGACACTAGTATGAGGTATGGTGATGATCAGGATACTGGTATGGGGTATGGTGGTCATCAGGATGTTGGTATGGCGGTGATCAGGATGCTGGTATGGCGGTGATAAGGATGTTAGTATGGGGTATATCAGTGATCAGGACACTGATATGGCATATGAAGTGATCAGAACACTGGTATGGGGTATGGCGGTATTTCAGGACACTGGTATGGTGGTGATCATGGCACTGGTATGGGGTATAGCAGTGATCAGGACGCTGGTATGACATATGATGGTGATCAGGACGTTGGTATGGTGTATGGCAGTATTATTGTGAGCACTGGTTACAATGGGACAGTTCACAGGTGCTAGCTGTATTGCTTATTATTACTACACTGGGGCAGTGATCAGGGACACTGGGGTGGCTGGCACTTCAGTTTGTGAGTGTCTGTGGTGTTTGGTGGACACAGCAGATCATGGCACTAAGTACCTAGTCTCTGTGAGCAGCCTTGAGGTCATGTAATCGCTATCACCAGCCATAGTGATCACATGATTACAATGTAAACAAAATGGTCATGAATGGCTTCCATTCATGACTACTTGCTTACTGTTGTGAAGCTGTGATTGTCCCACAGCTATTACATGGTACCCGGCACCCTGTACCATGTGATTCATTTATATATCATCATTGTAGACTCTATAACATTCACACAGTTTATATAATATACGTAGGTTTGGATTATTTTTACCATTACCAGAATACATTTTGGCTTAAATTTATGAAGAAAGATTATTTGTTTGCAAAATTGTATAACAGAAGCTAAGAAAAACGTGCTTTGTTCCAACATTTGCATTATTTTTTATTTATATAGCAAAAAATAAAAAATCCAGAGGTGATTAAATACCACCAAAAGAAAGCTCTTTTTGTGTGGAAAAAAATGATATAAATTGAATTTGTGTACAGCGCTGCATGACCGCGCAATTACCAGCTAAAGCAATATAGTGCTCAATAGCAAAAATTGCCCTGGTCATGAAGGGGGTAAAAACCTCCGGTGGGCAAGTGGTTAAACATCAATAAACCATCATTAACCACCTTCCACCCGCCCTATAGTACAATGACGGGCGCAAGGTGGTTCTCTCGTTGTGATAGGACGTCATATGATGTCCTACCATTCTCACTGCGCATGCGCGGCTCAGGGAGCGCGCAGTGTGGCGATCGCCAGTCTGCTGTGTCCCTCGGACACAGCAGATCACGGAAAGAGCCGAAGATGTCGGCTCAGTTATGTGATCAGCTGTGTCCAATCACAGCTGATCACATGTAAACACGGGAAATGCCGGTTATCGGCATTTCTCTCCTCTCCGGTAATCGGCTTTCCACGGAGGGGACATGTACACTGATCATCAGGGCACTGATGATCAGTGTGCCCTGATGATTAGTGTGGCCCCAGAAGTGCCACTTGTCAGTGCTTATCAGTGCCAGTGCCACATCAATGCCACATATCAGTGCCTACCAGTGCACATCAATGCCACATATCAGTGCCCATCTGAGCTGCCTTTCAATGTCACCCATCAGTGCCAGTCACTGCCACCTATCAATGCCAATCAGTGCCACCTATCAGTGCCAGTCAGTGCCGCCTAATAGTGCCAGTCAGTGCCGCCTAACAGTGCCAGTCAGTGCCGTCTATCAGTGCCAGCCAGTGCTGCCTATCAGTGCCGCCTATCAGTGTCATACAGTTGCAAGAAAAAGTATGTGAACCCCTTGGGATTACGTGGAGTTTTGCATGAATTGGGCATAAAATGTGCTCTGAACGTCATCTAAGTCACAACAATAGAAGAACACAGTCTGCTGAACATAATACTACACAAAATTAGATGTTGCCATGGTTTAATTGCACATAACATGTAAACATTCACATTGCAGGGAGGAAAAAGTATGTGAACCTTTGGCCTTAATAACTGGTTGACCCTCCTTTGGCAGCAATAACCTCAACCAAACGTTTCCTGTAGTTGCAGATCAGACCTGCACAATGATCTGGAGTCATTTTGGACCACTCCTCTTCACAAAACTGTTTCAGTGTAGCAATATTCTTGGGATGTCTGGTGTGAATCGCTCTCTTAAGGTCATGCCACAGCATTTCAATCGGGTTGAAGTCAGGACTCTGACTGGGCCACTCCAGAAGGCGTATTCTGTGCTGTTGCAGCCATTGTTTTGTTGAATTACTTGTATGCTTTGGGTCATTGTCCTGTTGCATCACCCATCCTCTGCGGAGCTTCAGTTGGCGGACAGATGGTCGTACGTTTTCCTGCAAAATGTCTTGATAAACTCTGGAATTCATTTTCCCATCAATGACAACAATCCGTCCAGGCCCTGAGGCAGCAAAGCAGCCCCAAACCATGATGCTCCCTCCGCCATGTTTCACAGTGGGGATGAGGTTTTGATGTTGGTGTGCTGTGCCTTTTTTTCTCCACACATAGTGTTGTGTGTTCTTCCCAAACAACTCAATCTTGGTTTCATCTGTCCACAGTATATTTTGCCAGTAGTGCTGTGGAACATCCAGGTGCTCTTTTGCAAACGTCAAACGTGCTGCAATATTCTTTTTGGACAGGAATGGCTTCCTCCGTGGTGTCCTCCCATGTACTCCATTCTTGTTTAATGTTTTCCGTATTGTAGATGTGTCAACAAAAATGTTAGCATGTGCCAGAGATTTCTGTAGGTCTTTAGCTGACACTCTGGGATTCTTCTTTACCTCATGCAGCATTCTGCGCTGTGCTCTTGCAGTCATTTTTACAGGACGACCACGCCTAGGGAGAGTAGCAACAGTGCTAAACTTTCTCCATTTGTAGACAGTCTGTCTTACCGTGGACACATGAACATCAAGGCTTTTGGAGATACTTTTGTAACCCTTTCCAGCTTCATGCAAGTCAACAATTCTTGATCGTAGGTCTTCTGAGAGCTCTTTTCTGCGAGGCATGGTTCACATCAGATAGTGCTTCTTGAAACCAGTAAACCCAAAACAGGTGTGTATTTTTTAAGGGCAGGACAGCTGTCAGCAACACATCCAATATCATCACACTGATTGGAGTCAAGGTTGGCTCACTCCTGGCTCCAATTAGCTCTGGGAGAAGTCATTAAGCTAGGGCCTCACATACTTTTTCCTCCCTGCACTGTGAATGTTTACATGTTATGTGCAATTAAACATGGCAACATCTAATGTTTGTGTAGTATTATGTTCAGCAGACTGTGTTCTTCTACTGTTGTGACTTAGATGACGTTCAGAGCACATTTTATGCCCAATTCATGCAAAACTCCACGTAATCCCAAGGGGTTCACATACTTTTTCTTGCAACTGTATATCAGTGTCATGTATCGGTGCTGCCTTTCAGTGCCCATCAGTCATGCCTGTCAATGCCCATCAGTGCAACCTACCAGTGCCTCCTCATCAGTGCCCATCAGTGCCACCTATCAGTGTCCATCAGTGCAGCCTCATTAGCGCACATCAGTGAAGGAGAAAAATCACTTATTTACAAAATTGTATAACAAAAACTAAGAAAAAATTTTTTTTTTTCCACAATTTTCAGTGGTTTTTGGTTTGTTTAAGAAAAAAATAAAAATCCCAGAGGTGATTAAATAACACCAAAATAAAGCTCTCTGTCACAAAAAAATTATAAAAATTGCATATGGGTACAGTGTTGCATGACTGCGCAATTGTCATTCCAAGTGTTACAGCGCTGAAATCTGGAAATTGGCCTGGGCAGGAAGGGGGTATAAGTGGCCTGTAGGCGAGGGGTTAAATCTATAACAAAGAGATAAATGTTGGAAACTAGCCCAAACTGGCCATCATCTATACCAGTGTTTTTCAACCAGGGTGCTGCAGCACTCTGGAGCGACATTTGTGTTTTCCTGGGGTGCTACCAGTTTGCCCTGGATCAGGGATGGATTTTAGAACACTGTGATGATGGGGACTCTAGTGTGTTGGGGAGACTCTGTCATGAGGGCACGCTGATTTAATTGGGGGCTCTCATGTATATGGGGGGCTCTGACTGTGGGCTCTCATGCATATGGGAGGCTCGGACTGTGGGCTCTCATGCATATGGGAGGCTCGGACTGTGGGCTCTCATGCATATGGGGGGCTCTGACTGTGGGCTTTCAAGTATATGGGGGAGTCTGATGTATAGGGGAAACTTTAAAGTGATGGTGGAAATCTAGCGTGAAGGGAGGACTCTGATGTGACAGGGGGCTCTAATGAAATGGGGGGACCTCTGATGGTAAGAGGACCTTTGGCGTGATGGGGATACTCTGATATAATGGGGAGACTCTGATGTGATTGGGAGATTCTGTCATGAGGGTACACTAATGTGATGGGGGCTATCATGTATCAGGGTGGACTTTGTGATGGGGGCTCATGTAATACGGGCAACTTTGATGTGATGGTGGGAATCTACTGAGGGAAGATCGTAATGTGAAGGGGAACTCTAATGATATGGGGGGACTTCTGATAGGAAGGGGGCCTTTGATGTGGTGGGGAGACACTGATGTGATAGGGAGACTGTCATGAGGGTAATTTGATGTGATGGGGGGGCTCTCACATATAGGGGGGACTCTGACTCTGTGATAGGGAAAATCTAATGTATTGGAGCAAATCTGATGTGATGGAGGAATTCTGATGTGATGGTGGCCTCTGATGTGAAGGGAGACTTTGGCGTATAGAGAAATTTTGATTTGATGGTGAGAAACTGACTGGACTTCAGACGTGATGGTAGCTTCTAATGTGACTCTGGTGTAAAGAGGCAACTTTGATGCAATGGTGGGAATCTACTGAGGGAGGACTGTAACGTGAAGGGGAACTCTAATGAGATGGGGGGACTTCTGATAAGAAGGGGGCCTTGGATGTGGTGGGGAGACACTGATGTGATAGGGAGACTGCCATGAGGTTAATCTGATGTGATGGGGGGCTCTCACACATAGGGGGGACTCTGACTCTGTGATAGGGAAAATCTAATGTATAAGAGCAAATCTGATGTAATGGAGGAATTCTGATGTGATGGTGGAATTCTGATGTGATGGTGGCCTCTGATGTGATGGTGGCCTCTGATGTAATGGTGGCCTCTGATGTGAATGGGGACTTTGGCGTATAGAGACATTTTGATGTGATGGTGAGAATCTGACATGAGGAATGGACTTCAAATGTGATGGTGGCTTCTGATGTGGCTCTGGTGTAAAGATGCAACTTTGATGTGATGGAGAATTTCTAATGTGATGGTGGAATTCTGATGTGATGGTGGCCTCTGATGTGATGGTGGCCTCTGATGTGATGGTGGCCTCTGATGTGAATGGGGACTTTGGCGTATAGAGACATTTTGATGTGATGGTGAGAATCTGACATGAGGAATGGACTTCAAATGTGATGGTCGCTTCTGATGTGACTCTGGTGTAAAGATGCAACTTTGATGTGATGGAGAATTTCTAATGTGATGGTGGAATTCTGATGTGATGGTGGCCTCTGATGTGATGGTGGCCTCTGATGTGAATGGGGACTTTGGCGTATAGAGACATTTTGATGTGATGGTGAGAATCTGACATGAGGAATGGACTTCAAATGTGATGGTCGCTTCTGATGTGACTCTGGTGTAAAGAGGCAACTTTGATGTTATGGTGGGAATCTAACGTAATGAGAGGACCTCTGACATAGTGGAGGTCTCTGACATGAAGGGGAACCTCTGATGAGAAGTAGGACTTCTTATGTAAAGTTAACCTCCTCAAGGTGGTTGTGTGCATCGTCCTAGGCTCAGGTTCCCCTTTAATATGTAACATTTACATTTTCTACATTGTATATCGGAGTACCTCAAGACTTTGAATACTTTTAAAGAGTTCCACGGCTGAAGTGAGGTTGGGAAACCCTGGTCTATACTAACCACTAAAGACCCTCCAACTTTTAGGAATTGTATCTTTATTAGTTCAATCTTGTTTCCTTGTTGCCAAACCATTCTAGTCATCTCACTGTCCCAGGGGCGGACTGACCATTTGGAAACTTGGGCACTGCCCATGGGCCCGGGGTCAGTAGGGGGCCCCATGAGATGCCCCTGGTACCTTTTTCATAGGCTTTTTTGAGTTTGGGCAAGGACACAGGGGCCCTATGATCCCCTATTGCCCGGGGGCCCCATGAGTTGTCAGTTCGCCCCTGCACTGTCCTGTTACAGTTAATTGCAGAACATTACTCTTTTTTCTTGATAATAAAATAACATCCAGCACATTTAGGAAGCAAGTTTTCTTCTACACGGTTTCTTTCAGAGGCCCCATAAACTCCGTTGTCTCATTGGTATGCACGAGGCGATAAAACAGAGTCTATGCAACATCGGAAAATATATCTTGCAAATCGCAGAGGTGGAGAATTAATAGTGGAGTAATTATAATTCAGTAAACAGTAAAAAACAGCTATTGGGAGGTAATGACTCCAAACAGAGGGTTGCCTGCAACAATTTATAACAATATATTCTCATTAACTCATCCTAACTGGAAAACTTTGCTAGGGAGTCAGAATGCAAGCAGGTTTTATGTGCTTTTTATTTTTATTTTTTAAAATGTTGTTTCCTTAATTACATTGAAAAATGTATTCCACAGCTTAAAAACAAAAAATCTGTTTTTAGTAATTGGTCCATGAAAGTAAAAGTTTAGCCAT